TGCAGACTGAAAAGACAAACGCACAGCGAGCGCGTCTGAAGCAAGTCAAAACGTCTCAGCGGCCCGGCAGGAAGGTTTAGGATTACAGCAACCCGTGTGCTTTTAGTCTAAACCGCCCACGACCATCCGTTCCACATCTGCCGTTTGTCACATTGGTTCAAGTCAACCGAAACCACGTGTGATGCTTTCGCTGTCGGTCGTCTGTTGGGTCAAAGACGAACCAAACGTCAAAACGTGTCAGCGGCCCTGCAGGAGGGTTTAGGATAACAGCAACCCGTGTGCTTTTAGTCTAAACCGCCCACGACCATCCGTTCCACATCTGCTGCTTGTCATCTGGGTCGAAGTCACCCAAAACCACGTCTGATATTTTCACTGTTTGTTGGATCAAAAACGAACCAATCCCTCGATCAAAGTCAAAACGTCTCAGCGGCCCTGCTGGGGGGTTTAAGGCAACAGCAACCCGCCTGCTTTCCGTCAACCGCCCAAGACCACTGTCGCCATCGCAAGAATGACAGAAAGGCTACTCCGTTGCTGTCACTGCACAACACAACTCAACAGCAAAAGTACTGAAAGATTGGATATGCACTCTCATTCGCTGATTGAACATCTATCCCCATCAAAAAAGGCCCGAAGGCACCGAATGAGGCTGGGCTTTGGTGCACATGTTGCAGATATTGCGCATGTTGTCACTGCAACTGGCTAAGATCAGCCCTTTTCCTTTTCTCTCTCTATGTTGCGAATTCTGTTTCTCAGCACCGCAACGTTGGCGGAACAGCAGAAGCTTTGTGTTTCTGCTTTCACTTTTGGCCTTCGCCTTCGCGTGGCTTCCAGCGATGTTCTTCCAATCTCAGCACATCAGCTTGGTGGAGCAGCAGCAGCAGCAGCAGCAGTTTTTGCTTTTGCTGTTGCCTTCGCTTTCGCTTGGGCTTTCAGCGATATGAGCTGAAAAAGTTCATCGGAAGACAACCGACTCGCATGCTTTCGCAGCTTCGTCAGCTGCTTCGTCGATTTTTTGATCTCGGCCGTTGCGCTGTTTGCGCTTTCTTCAAGCTCACGCCTTCTCGACTTCAGGGCTGCCAAGCGTTCTTCCACGGTAGGGTCCTGCATGGACAAGATCAGATTACTATGTGTGCACGTGCAGTCTGGCCTGTTCTGGTGCCGAAAAATGGCCCAAATATTGGTCCCCGCTACTCACGCTGTTCACAGACCAAATATATTCATAAAGTTGGCATTCGGCTGTGCAATGCTGAGACCGGAGTCATGCTGAAAAAGACCGTCTGCGGTGACAGCACTTACCCAACAGTGTCCGACCCTTCACACTGAATGCCTCCTAATCTTTGAACAGCCCATTACCAACGCTACGATCTAATTCGTCCGAACTTGACGGACGGACCTGGCAAAATGTGACCAGTGGCTCAATACTGAGCGGAAACCCAGAACTTGCAGCAGAAGCTGTAGAATTCTTGTCAGAAATTCTTGGCCCCAAACAAAAAAGCCGAACCAATTTAAAGAATGATGCGACGGTCCTGACAACACTCATAGGTGCTCATGTAACGGCCTGAAAGGATTATTCTTCGCATCTGGGTGTTTTTTGAAATACGTTTTCGCTTATGAACGAAGCTCAACTCAAAAAACAGGCCGAACCAAATGCGGCGGTCCTCATGAGCAACATCCCTGGTCATAATGGCCTGAAAGGATCATTGTGCGCATCTCGGTGTGTTCTTCTCTACTTTTCCTATAACGAACGAAGCCAAACCACGAAAAACAAGCCTAACCAATTTTGAGAGTGATGCGACGGTCCCCAAAGCAATTTCGGTGCTCATGTAGCGGCCTGACAGGATCATTTGGGGCATCTTGGTTGTCTTCTAATACGTTTTCGTATTACGAATCCAAGCCCAAGAAACAAGCCGAACCAATTTTGAGAGTTCATGTAACAGCCTGCCTGAAAGGAGCATTCTGCTCATCTCCGTTTTTCTTCTTTACTTGTTCGTATTGCGAACGAAGCACGCGGCTAAGTTTCTGGATTTTGCGCTGCAAGCTTGCTTTGAGGACCGCCGCATCACTCTCAAAATTGGTTCGGCTTGTCTCTTGGGGGTTTGGCTTCGATCGTAAAACGAAAACGTACAGAAAAAACACCCAGATGCGAAGAATGATCCTTTCAAGCCGTCACATAAGCATCGCAATTGCTGCGGGGACCGTCGCACCACTCTCAAAATTTGTTCGGCTTGTTTTTTGGGTTTGGCTTCGTTCATAATAGGAAAAGCTATTGGAAAAACACCGAGATTCGAAGAATGATCCTTTCAGGCCGTTACATGAACACCGGAATTGCTTTGAGGAGCGTCACATCACTCTCAAAATTTGTTCGGCGTGCTTTTTGGGTTTGGCTTCGTTCATAATCGGAAAAGCTATGAGAAAAACAACGAGATTCGAAGAATGATCCTTTCAGGCCGTTACATCAGCATCGCCATTGTTGCGGGGACCGTCGAATCACTCTCAAAATTTGTTCGGCTGGTTTTGGGGTTTGGCTTCGTTCGTAATACGAAAGCGAATTAGAAAACAACCACGATGCGCCAAATCATCCTGTCAGGCCGTTACATGAGCACCGAAATTTTCTGAGGACGGTCGCATCTCTCAAAATTCGTTCTGCTCGTTTTTTGGGTTTGGCTTCGTTCGTCATAGGGAAACGTATTAGAAAACAACCAAGATGCGCCAAATGATCCTTTCAGGCCGTTACATGAACACCGAAGTTGCTTTGAGGACCGTCGCATCACTCTCAAAACTTGTTCGGTTTGTTTTTGGGGTTTGGTTTCGTTCATAACACGAAAACGTATTGGAAAAAAACAAGATGCGCCAAATGATCCTTTCAGGCCGTCACATGAACACCGAAATTGCTTTGAGGACCGTCGCATCACTCTCAAAATTTATTCGGCGTGTTTTTTTGGGTTTGGCTTCGTTCATAATCGGAAAAGCTATGAGAAAAACAACGAGATTCGAAGAATGATCCTTTCAGGCCGTTACATCAGCATTGCCATTGTTGCGGGGACCGTCGAATCACTCTCAAAATTTGTTCGGCTGGTTTTGGGGTTTGGCTTCGTTCGTAATACGAAAGCGAATTAGAAAACAACCACGATGCGCCAAATCATCCTGTCAGGCCGTTACATGAGGAGCGTCACATCACTCTCAAAATTTGTTCGGCTTGTTTTTTGGGTTTGGCTTCGTTCATAATCGGAAAAGCTATGAGAAAAACAACGGGATTCGAAGAATGATCCCTTCAGGCCGTTACATCAGCATTGCCATTGTTGCGGGGACCGTCGAATCACTCTCAAAATTTGTTCGGCTGGTTTTGCGGGTTTGGCTTCGTTCGTAATACGAAAGCGAATTAGAAAACAACCAAGATGCGCCAAATGATCCTGTCAGGCCGTTACATGAACACCGAAATTGCTTTGAGGACCGTCGCATCACTCTCAAAATTTGTTCGGCTTGTTTTTTGGGCTTGCCTTCGTTCATATCACGAAAACGTATTGGAAAACAACCAAGATGCGCCAAATGATCCTTTCAGGCCGTTACATGAGCATCGAAATTGCTCTTATCACCGTCGCATCACTCTCAAAGTTGGTTCGGTTTTTTTGGGTTTGCGGTAGGAGCGACGGGAAACGTGCACAAGGGGCGCAACGTCCAGATCCTTAGCACGCACTCCACGCGTACAAAGGGCAGGACCTCCACTCAGCGACAAGGTTTCATAAAACTTGCTACACAACGAAGCTGAGCTGAGCACTGGTCCGAATATTTCACCAGGTCACTCACAAGGCGGAGGCAACTTCAGCGCAACGTCCAGATACTGAGCCGCGCACTCCCGGTAGGAGCGACGGGCGAGGTGTACAAAGGGCGGGAACCTCCTCTCAGCGACAAGCTTTCATGAAACTTGCCACGCAACAAAGCTGAGCTGAGCACTTGTCCGAATATAATTCACCCGATCACTCAAGCAGGAACCTGCACTCATCGATAAGGTTCATGAAAAGCGACCAACCATCAAACTTCCTACGCAACGTCCGGAAGCTGAGATGTCCACTCAATCGGCAGGAGCGATGGAGCGGTGTGTACAAAGGTGTCGCCCATAGCTTCCACTTGCAAAAAACAAATTCGCAAGCAATCACCTTCTTCCATGTTCACGACAAGTTTTGGATAGTGCAAATGATCCTTCCGCAGGTTCACCTACGGAAACCTTGTTACGACATCGGGTTCATGAAACTTTGTGCAACGTCCAGAAGCTGAGCCGTATGTCAATCCGAATAATTCACCGGACCACTCAATCGATAAGCCACGAGCGGTGTGTACACATGGCAGGGACGTAATCAGCACGAGCTCAGGACTTGCCATCTCAGGCAAGACTGCAAACTCTTTGAGCGCATCAGTGTAGCGCGCGTGCAGTCCAAGACATCTAAGAGCATCACAGACCTGTTCTTGCCTCAAACTGCCTTGCGTTAGACACACACAGTCCCTCTAAGAAGTTGCCCACATGCAACCGAGGTTGCATATCACTGCAGGTTGAAGCCTCGCTCGGGAGCGAAATTAACCAAACAAATCACTCCACCAACTCAGAACGGTCATGCCGCACCAGAAATAGGAAGAACCAAACAAAACACCACAGAAAATAGGCCAGTCACAAACAAGAACGTCAATGACCCGTGGCAAACCAAAAACCTCCCCACGTTTTCTGACATATAAACAGGACAGCAAAGGTTTACAAACAGTACAAGACCGTGTGACTCCTGCGCAAACACCAACGAAAGTACGCAACAGCAGCAACATCCGCAAATGTTTGTGCGAAAGGGCCCTAAATGCAAAAATATGACACTAGATACCGTTTCTTGGCGGTTCCCGAGGCACGAAGCAAGCAGTATCGCGCGCACTCGGCTTCTGATAGCTGTGTTTAGTGCGACAGCAGCAACATCCGCAAAAATATGTGTGCGAAAGGGCCCTTATAATGCAAAAATATGACATTAGATACCGTTTTTTGGCGGTTCCCAGGGCACGAAACAAGCATTGTCGCACGCACTCCGACTTCTGATTCGCTCCTGAAAGTGGGCACCGAATTGCCACTGCAGTTTTAAAGCGCGACGTGGCGAATTAGTGTGTGTCAAAATGCCATTCAGCTCAGCTGGCCGCCGTGCTGGAAAGGATCCTCCTGGGAAGCTTGTCAACAGGGGCAACGGGCAAATATCTTTGGCAATCTCGACCCAGACCACGCGACGCATAATGGGCACCTCGTGCTTGGTCTGGGCAACAGCTGGCGGGAAAAAGCCATCCCAACCCCAATTCGCACTGAAGATGCGAGGGCAGCGTACTGGGATGCGGCCATCCTTGTTGCGGCACTGTACATCCCTGTGCTTTGCGAGATCTAGCAGACCCTTGACATCATCAATATCCCGATTGTGCAAGCAGAGTTCATCCACAACGAGACCTTGATGGGGCAGGAAGGTTGCATCTCGCAGTCGATCCAGCTTGTTCACGAAATGAAAGCCTTTGTCTTTGCATATGATAGCCATGATTGCGCATGCCAACTCCATTTTGCCTAGACCTCCATCGCCCTGGAGAACCAGAGCCCTCGAAAGGTGACCCTCAGACACCCACCGCGGAAGTTCCAGATCAATGGCGTCCAGCGAAAGGAACTGTTGTAGGGCGAAGTTGGCATGGAACATAAGTGTGCCAGTTGGCATGCCTTCACAGTTCCGCGTAAGGATAACCTTGGCAACCAAACTGGTCACATCACTCCAGGCTCCGAGGGTGTTGAAAAGGAGATCATCGACTGCCAATTTGCGCTTCTTTGCAAGAAGCCAGGCATCCTTCGTCAGCAATTTCACTGAATGTCAATAAAACCCGCTTTTTGCCCTTGCCGTGACCATTGCGGCCATCTTGCTGAGGGTTCTTCGCGTTGCAAACCTTCAAAAGCTCCTGAGCCGTCAAGCGGGAGGGAATCGACCAGGGCTCCATGTCAAGAACTGCTTGCAGCTTGTGTGCCGAAGGCTGCAAACAGTATTGAAGATATGCTTGGTAACCGACGAGGTTGAACGAAAAGTGCCTGCGGATACCTTCTCATGAAGGGACTTCGCAATCTGCAAGTGCGCGAAAACGGCCTTGAAACGGAAAATGATGTGGTAGTGCCTGGCACGGAGACCCGTCGCGGCATTGAACTTTTTGTGGGGTTCAACGAGGATATGAAGGCTGTCCAGGTTCACGAACTGGTTGTGTTTGGCCAGCACAGCCTTGAAAGTTTGGCCAAGGGTTTCCTTGCTCATGTCTTCAGGGATGGTAAAGTTGCGAGCTTTGCGGACTGCTGGATCGGCAGGAAATTCGCGGGGGCATGGCCACACGAATTGGCCGCACATCGCACGAGTTTTCACGGAGCTCGGGTGGTCCGCATCTTGTTCAGAAGACTCGCCCTGAGCAGGATTACACATGAACTGACAGACGTAATGACGTAGTAAGGTTTATAATTGCTAGAACCCTGCGCGAAAAAAGCTTTGCAAACTGATGCGCAAGATGCCTGGGCGGCTAGCATTTGGGCGCAGGGCTCATCATCTGACGAGCTTGAGGAAGACGACGAGACAGAGTGCGACATGGCAAACGCAAAGACACACTTGTTCTGCAGCGAGAGTCTGAGCACATGCCGACATGGAGCCTTTCAGAAGAGCTGGTTTGGATTTCGACAGGCTTGTATGAAATGGAAAAGTAAAGGCCGCTAAACTGTGAAAACTCGCAAAACGGCAATTCTACATTGCCAAAAACCGGACCCGTGCCGACAAAATCGTGTAATTGGACTCGTGTTAAAAAAACATTTTAATCGCTTTATCAGGGGGATCCAACTATACGATTTTCCTCTGGGCGGGCGTAGTTTTGCCGCAATATCTTTTCGACCGCACGTGTTCCCTGGGTTTTGGCACGCGCGCTGCTAAGAAGTGCCAACTGTCACAGGCTTTTTTCGTCAGTGTACCCATTTTGGGGGGTTTGGGCGTTTCACGACGCCGATACCGTTTCTTCGTGGCTCCCAGGAACTTCATGCTCACGCATCATCGCTTGCAAATGTGTCTTTCCGTACAAACTCCGACGAAATCGTGCGAGAGAAGCAAAGCAAACACACAGCAATTCTGACACAAAACGGCCTGAACCACGAGACTTGACAAAAAGCATGTGATCTGCAGCCTGGTTTCCTGACAGCTCTGCCTTTCTTTCTACCAAACATGCGTCGAGCAAGGAGAACTTGTGTCAGAGTCTGGTACGGCTTGCCGAAGACCGAAGAAATCTACTCTGCATAACCGTCTTTGGCTTGCTACCCGGGAGTTGCGGGTGTCGCGGGCGCTGCACGCTGCTGACGCTTGAGCCGGCCCCGGCGCTTTGCCTTACCAGGCAACAAGCTCCACGCCGCCCAGCCTCCACATTCAACACTATAGAAGCTTCCTTCAAGCTGCGTTTGAGCTGGTCACGCTCGGCTTTGAGTCTCTCTAAGTTGTCGTCCATGACGACAGCAAGGTGCCAAGGTCTACAGTCTGCAGATTCAGCTCGTGGCGATCAAAACACTGCAGCAAGTACAAGGAAACTGACTCCATAAACTGGCCCATAAAACGGACCCACGCCACAGACATGGGGGTTGCTTTTTGTGCCTTGAACAAGCACGATTTGCTGGACAAAAGTCTGTTCCCTTCCAGTACTGGAAGCCAGTTTGTGCAGAAACACAAGGAAAATGCAAAGAAAATGGAACCGAAAATGGGTCCAGCAGCCTAGCTGCGCTTTCCGGACCCATTTCCGGACCCATTTTTTCTCCTTTTTGCTAGGGTGTTTGCACAAACTGGCCTCCCGGGACCCATTTCGGGACCCATTGTTGGACCCACTGTTGGACCCACTGTTGGACCCGGGACCCGTTTTCGGACACATTTTCCCGACACCTAGAACCCATTTTTGTGAAACCGTTTCGCATTTTTGAACCCATTTGTTGTGCATTTCTTTTTGCAAAGAATTATTTCCACAAATCCTAGAGTTAGGTGTAAGGGGCTTCACAAGTTTAGCCTAATGGCTCGCGCCTGGTCTGCTCAGCCTACATCCAAGCTACAAACCCTAGACCCCCCCAACAACTAGGTAAAGCAACCCTAAACCCCAAACATAGGTCCAAATCCTCAACCCTAATCGATCACTTGCGCACCGCAGCTGGCAAGGCTCAAAAAGCCTTTTGTGTCCAAATTGGAGCCAAGCAACTTGGGAGAACATACTCAGCGCGGAAAACCTCAACGAAGGGAAGGTCGGTTCAAGGCTTGGGATTCAAGTTCCAACTCCGACCCGTCGCGCGAAAGCTTCTTCAATCAAACACCAGGGCTCAGGGGACCAGCCTGAAGCCCCTCTATGGGACTCTAGAGCTTTTAGAGGCTCGATGGGACTCCAGAGCTTTGAAGGTTCGGGCTTTAGGATTTGGGGAGAGGGGGGGGGCTTCGCAGCCCTAATCCCCACAACGCCAGCACTGCCAAGCCGGCGCGCCATTGCGGATTCTCGGCCGCCACTGTGACCCCGACGAAGAGGATTCCTGATGCCGAGTGTTGCTTGTCGATTTCATCAGAAGTACTACATAACATTATCATCATGATGCTACACAATGATTACCCTGATCGCCATCATTGTAGTAACTATTACGGCTATTCCCATTGGACTCTTCCGTCTTCCTATGCATGAGAAGCGCTCATCATTGCTGCAACTACTAGGGCTATTGTGAACACTCTGGGTTCTTCTCTCCTGACATTACTGTCACTGGCGCCGTGATACAGCGTCTCTTAAGTATGGCGGGGCATTGCCTGCACAAGTTGCGCCTGCACTTCACTGGAAAGCAGCTCTGCTAGTGTAGTGGCCTTGATACCTAGAATCGGTTTTAATTAATCAACCATGATGAGGAACCGCTAAATTACCTAGAATAGGTTTTGGGGGGTACATTATACTAAAACCATATGAGGAACACCAAAAATGGTATCGATAAGTCTGCAGGGCGTGGGCCCGCCACTCGGCTGGCAGCCCGACACCGGCTGAAACTGCAAGCCCAAAAAGGCTCGGAACTCGGGACTGATATAGGGGCCTTAATAATTTGAATAGGGTTTTGGGCCCCATGATTAAAACAAAAATCTAATAAGCACCCCCCCCCCCCCCAAAAAAAAAAAAAAATAGTATAGATAATTATCTAGGCCTCTATATTAGCTCTCACAAGAGGCCCAGCACTGGCCGTAAACACTTCTTCTTTAACACCACCGCAAGGCTTCTGCGTCAGGGGTCCCTCCAGAGCAGATCCTAGCAGATCCTAGAGCCAAACCGGCATCGGAACCCCTAAAATCCTGCAGCCACAAAACCCTGTACCGTAAAACCCGACATCTGCAAAAGCGCAGAATCCTAAAAACCGAAGCCAAAAACCTCCAAAACCCTGAGATACATCTCACCCTAAACCCTAAACCCTAAACCCTAAACCCTAAACCAAAACCTTGGGGATGCTGAACCCTCCGCCCTCCCAGTCCAGTCCCAGGGTCCTGCCACGTGCCATGGGATCACGAGGCCCCAGCTCAGTCCCTCGGTACCTTTGGGAGTCCGGGATCTAAGAGTCCAGGGATCACCCCCAAAACACTCAAGTTTGGGGGGGGTTTGGAGCTTTTTTTGCAGTGTAGCACTGGTAAAACGGGGCTCTCGAGCATCGGAGTTCGCAGGCTTTGACATTTCGGGGCTTACAAAGCTTGGTTGAGGCTTTAGGCGGCTTGTGGGAGGGAGTGGGGCTCAGGGCCACACCTCAGGGTTTAGGCTTGAGGCTTTGCGGGGCCTAAGGTTTAGGGTTGCCAAGCCTTCCGAACACCGAATCTTTTACGACAGCAGATGCCTGCAGCAAAACAAGAAGGTTCCTCAATGGCTCAAGGACTTTACGCTCAGGGCTTGGGGGTCTTCAGGGCTCTCACCGGGCTACGAGAGATTGGGCGAATACTAAGTAACACTTGGGTGGTTGTCAAAATTAGGGTCCCTTTTTGGGTTCCTATTATAATATTTAGGTACCCAAAAAGGGACCATAATTTTGACAACTACCCACTTCTACGTTCTGACTTTGTATGCGGGGCTTCAGGGCTCGCAGGCGTTTGCCGGGCTCTTGACAGGATTTCATCCGGAACCGTAAGAGATCGTATGTTGAACACGGCTTATGAACGAGCGACACAACTGGTTCGGAACCCTAAACCTTAAACCCTCAACCACACAACAGGTCTAGGGTTGATAAAAGCTTCCGGAAACGGCGTTTGAAGACGGTAGTCTGGTTGCGAGCGTGAGAAGTGTGAAATAGCAAGAACAACAGAAACTGCCCTGCAAAAAGCCTCTGGCATAAGTATGCACCAGGAAACAATACAGTACATAAGTAACATCATCGCGAACCGAAGTTGTCAAATGCTAAGAACCATGTAGCAAGACATTGTTACGAACCCCTAATCCCTAAACCCAGAACCCGATGCCAGTATTGAGCTCCTAATGGTTTAAGGTTTAGGGTTTAGCGTTTAGGGCTTAGGGTTTAAGGTTCAGGGTTTAGGGTACCCTAAACCCTAAACCCTAAACCTTAAACTGAAAGTCCCTCTGTCCAACCTGAGCCTACCACCCGAAGTCTCAGTTCTCACAAGCTGCACCGTCGACGCGTGTTCAAGACGACCTCGGCTCAGGGAGCTCAGGGTCGCAAGTTCAGGGCCCGGAATGACTAGAACAAGGCTTTTGGCATATGTTAGTAACTGTTAGTATATATATATATATATGTACACTTAAATAAGGGACTTTGGCGTATGTTAGTGTGTGTATATATAGATATACTTAAATAAGGAACCCTAAGGCCCTAGGAATGCCATTGGTAGCTCTTTCGGCTACCATATACTCTAGTTCAGGAGTCTGGAGTTTAGGTGTTTGGGTGTTTGGGTTTTTCTGGGCTGTGCAGAGCTCAAAGGCATACCTCCACCCTACTTTCTACACCCTGAACTTGTAGCCCTGCACCCCCAGACCCGTGAGTGGGAGAGAGACACCCTGACACGCAACCCCGCCACCCGTAGAGAGGGCTCCAGATGTCAAACTCCACGTCGGGCTAGATCAGGCTCGTGTGGGTTTGAGGGTTTCGCCCTCGAAACCCAGAACAATGACAATAGAGCTCCTAATCCCAACCTAATTCCTAACGGGTTAGGGTTTAGGGGCTTTGGATTTCGGGTTTAGGGCGTAGCAGTGTGCATAAAGTGTGCGCGCGGTGGGTGCGCTTCGGGAATGGCGACACGCACACTTATCGCACGCTTGCGTCAGCATGTAGTCCCGCTCCAACCGCCCCAACCATTCTCAGTTGCAGTGTAGCGTTCACACC